AGCCATATCCTCGGTGAAGCTACGAAGGGAGAGGCACTCTCATACATTGCTGGAGGCAATGCAAAATAGTACAACCCTCTCTTCCACCCTCCCGCTCCTTCTCCTTTGTCTATTTTCCTGGTGGTGGTGGTGGTGGTGGTGGTGTGTGTGGCGGGGGTGTCTCACTTTGTTGCCCAGGCTGGTATTGAACTCCTGGGCTCAAGCAATCATCCTGCCTCGGCCTGCCAAAGTGATGGGATTATAGGCGTGAGCTACCGCGCCCGGCCAAGACTCCATTTATTAAAAGGCTGAAGAATTTTGCCGGGTGCGGCGGCTCACGCCTGTGATCCCGGCACTTTGGGAGGCCGAGCAAGCCGTATCGCCTGAGCTCAGGAGTTCGAGTCCAGTCTGGCCGACATGGCGAAATCCTGTCTCTACTATGGTAATATATGTAAACATGGAAAAGATAACAGTAAAATGTTCTGTGTTATAGGACCGTTGACCGAAATGTAATGCAGCACATGATTGTATAGACATAACTTATATTACTGTGTATAGTCACAGATATCTATTATAATACGGATTTGTATGTGAAACTATAATTTCACTTATTGTTATGTTTACGGTCTGTGTCTCTTGCTAGAATGTCAGCTCCATGAGCTCAAGGAAGAATTTCCAGCACCTGGCCCATGTCAAATGAACTATTTTGGCCACCTGAGTCTCGGTCTCCCCATCTGTAGGATGGGTGTGTCTTTCCATGTGGAGGCACCTACACATTCCGTTTCCTTTTCCCACCCTACAGAGCACGGCTCCGGCATTCCATAGCCCAGGCTTACATTTTCCCATATTCTGGACCCTGATGCCCACCACGTGCACCAGGCACTGGCCAGACAGGACTACCACCCCCAGCATGCCGCGCGCATTTGGGCCGTACCACAACCTGTAGGGGCATCTGGGTCTGAAACGGGCACCAGCGACGCGGGAGCAGGGACCGACGCCCCTCTAGCAGAGCATCTGTGGTACATCCCAGACCCGGGGCTCTCCGAGGCCCCGCGCTTCCGAGCTCCGCGCAAACTCTGGCTTCTCTTGTACGACGGAGGTGGTTTGCTCTTCCGTTGCCCCGTGGCTTCAGCTCATCTTTGGCAGGAAGGCGAGGCTTCCGCCCGGCACAGGGGGTGAGCTGGAGCACCGTGCCCCCAAGCCTCTGGACAGCATTTGGAGGAGGGTGCTTCCCTAATCCCAACTTCGGGGATCTCCTCATGGGCGTATTTGGAGCCTCCAGGCCCGGGGTGATATTTAGGGGGCGTCTACTTTTGAGGAGACCCTTAGGGGGTGCCGTTTGGGGACTTTGGGGTGGGATTTGGGAGTCTGTTTTGGGGAGCACCCCTCGGAGACAGTGTTTGGGGGGCTTTGGGGAGATTCTTAAGGTCCGTGTATGGGCACCCTTGTCCGTGGAGCAGGATTTGGGTTATTCTTCAAGGGGAGAAGCAAAGTTTGAGGTTACTAAAGTCAAGGCGGGACTGGGGGAGGGCTTGTTTCGGGACGGGGTCCTGGTGACAGTGAGAACAATCGGGACCGACGTGGCATAGTGGAGGTGTCAGGCCTTTGTGACCTCTGGCTCTGTGATGAGGTCCTCCCCGCGCCTGGAGGCTCAGGACTGCGAGACTGGACACGTCGGGGGCCCAGATGTTTCTAGGGAGAGGAGCCTCCCAGCTCAGGCTAGGGAAGGGACGCCGGAGCCCAGCTCTTCCTGAGCCGACGCGGCGCCACCCGGCCTTCGTTTGGTCGCGGTTTTATTCATTATTCATAAGGAGGTGGGGCTGTGGTAGGAGGCAGTTTTTTGCCTCTTTCGCACCTGGTCCGCAGAAGGGAAGGTATCGGCTTGTGAGTTATTCACGAGGGGCGGATCAGCGTGCTGAAGGGGCGTTCTGAAGTCTGCTGCGCAAAGGAGAGTTCTTTGATGATTCGCAAAAGTTAAGTAGCACTCTGAGTTTTCAGTGCTTTTCTAGGGGTTCCGTGCTTAATTCATGAGGAGCGTGGCTTTTGCAGCTTTATCTGCATGATCCGCGGTTAGCTTTCCCTTACAGGTACCAGAGTTAAAACCTGGCGTCTAGCGAAGGGATGAGGCCTCCTACATTGTTCATTTCTTATGGCCTGGTAATCTCAGATAATCAGCCGGGGCTCTGGATTCAAATCCCATCGATCCTTTCCAGTTGTGTGATCTTTGGCAAATCGTTTTGTAAGCCTGAATAATGGGTAGGAGGATAATGATAAGATTAGCTTACACTCGTTTAGCTACTTAGCGCATTTAGTCTTCACGACAATCCTAGGAGGTAGGTTATTATTACCCCCACTTTATAGATAAGGAAACTGGGGCACAGGAAGGCTAAGTAATTTGCCTAAGGTCACACAATCAGTGAGTGGCTGGGCCGGGATTCAAATTGGGGTCTAGTTCCGCAATCTGTAGTCTTAACCAGATGCCATAATGTCTCCCTTCCCCACTCCCCCGCGCCGCCGTTTAATAGTACTACTACTAATATAACACTTAGTATGTGCCAGGCATTGGTCTAAGCCCTTTCTACATATTTCTTCATTTAAACTCCATCTCAAGGTAAGTTGCTGTTGTTATTCCTATTTTATGGATGGGGAAGCAGTGGCCCAAGTTGGGGGTTTCTCTTGTGGCTGAGTATTCATAACTAATTTTATATTAATGTAAATATATATTTACATATCTTAACATATTACCTTTATATTAATATATAATGTTTTAAAAATTTAACAGTGCCTTGTGCCAGCAATGTTCTAAGACTCATCCCATAATTTATATTCTCTGATTTTCTTTTTTTTTTTTGAGACGGAGTTTCACTCTTGTCGCCCAAGCTGGAGTGCAATGGCACGATCTCGGCTGACTGCAACCTCTGCTTCCCGAGTTCAAGGGATTCTCCTGCCTCAGCCTCCCCAGTAGCTGGGATTAAAGGCGCCCGCCACCACGCCCAGCTAATTTTTGTGTTTTTAGTAGAAACAGGATTTCACCATCTTGGCCAGACCGGTCTCGAATTCCTGACCTCAGGTGATCCACTCGCCTCGGCCTCCCAAAGTGCTGGGATTACAGGCGTGATCTGATTTTCATAATAACACATCTCTGTGAGGTGGATGGGCTCTGTTACTATCCTCATTTTGCAGTTGTGAAAACTGAGGCACCTGCCAAAGACATGTAATGAGTTTGGGTTTGATTGGACTAAGGCAGCCCTTGTTCCTGAGGCGGGGAGAATGGAGGGAGGTGTGGGGAGAGGAGGCAGGGGCAGAGAGAACACTTCCCCTGGGTTTTCTGGTGGCACTGCAGCGACATCTTTCATTATTCATGAACAGGAAGGCGTGCTCACTTTGCCTTGGCTATAGCATCGTAATCTCTATTTGCTGGGTAGGGCAGTCTTGGGTGTTTCTTCGCCTTATGCATAATTCATAAATTGGGTGGAACCTTTCTTGACCTCTCTTGAGTTTCCAGGTTGAGCTACTGCAGCAGCATAATTCATTATTCAGAACCTGGGAGAGTGTGTTTTCTCTGCAGTAGCCCCATTTCCCTGCTTATAGTGTATTAGGTGCGGCAATAGGTGGGCGTGCTCCTTTTATTCCAACCCACTGGGTCTCATGCATTATTCATGAGTAAGTTGTGGCCTGGGTCTCCTTGGATTCCGGGCCCCTGCAAGATCATCATTATTCATGAATGGAGGTGTGTGACTTCCATGTTTTAATATTTGCTGTCGGGTTGCTGGTTGTTAGTCTACCAACCACTCAACTTTATGCATAACTTATAATCAGGAAGCGTGACCTTAATGGTTTTTCTTCGCTTCCATGACAGCCTGGCTGCAACCATTCATTATTCACATTCCATGAGGCGTGGCCTCTGTTTTACCTGTTTTCGTTGTTACTGCCACAATGCCCACCAGGTGGTACTGTTCCACTTCTAACCGAATGAATCGCAACCGGACCGGGAACTTTATGCATGATTCATAAGTAGGCGCGGCCCGCTTGCATCCGGGTTTCTGGGGGTGGGGACCAAGGTTTTGTTCCGGCCCCAGGCTCAGCGGCAGCCATCTTGTGTCGGCGGCTCGGCTGAAGGAGGTGGCAGGGACAACCACAGCCACAGCGGCCGGGGGAGGAGAAGGCGGCAGCGGCGATTCTAGGCGGCCCAGGCGGCGGGGAGGAGGAGAAGGAGGAGGGTGGCGGCCGGGCTTGGCTTCGGCTCCTTGAGGAGTTGGCGGCGGCGCGACCCGGGGAACCGGCATTGGTAAAAAACGTCCTTTCACTGCGCCTCGCCCGGGGCAGGGGTTTCGGGGAGGCACTGGAAGGGCCTGAGCCACGCTGCTGTCGGGGCGGGCCGCGGTGACTCGGGCGCCAGGAATCAGCGGAGTAGGGAGGGGGAGCAGAGCCTGGGGCGGGGCCGACTTTCCCCGGCCAGGACCACCCTGGATCCCTCTAGTTCCAAAATCTGACCTTGGAGTCGGACCCCCACGATGTGCTTTTAGAGACTCATGCCCAACATCTCTAGTCTGGGACCTGACTCCGTCCCGATCCTTGTATCTCAGATCAGAACTCTCCCCAGTCTCCGATAGAGATTTACGGGGATCAGCACTGCTGATCAGAGCTTCTCACCATTGAATGCCATTAAAGACCTGCCCCAGAATCTCCTTTGAGACACCTCCTAGCCTCTCAGTATTTGCCCTCAAGGCTTCCAAGACAGGCTAGACCTGGAAGGGGTCCATAGGCTCTTTATCTCTGTAAGAGAGTCCTCGTTTACATTTTCCTTCAGACCCCCCATCCCACACACATGTTAGCCACGCTCAGAGCTTCCAGGGGTACTAGACCCTGTGAAAGGCCATTTGGGCCTGGCCTTTGTGTCGGGGAACCCTCTTCGCCGCACCTCAGGTCTCCTAACCCCACCCTGGCCCTAGCGTCTTTCATCAGAGACTCTGCCCAGTATTTCTACTCAGAGACCCCTCTTAGCATTTGTCTTGAGAGACTTCAATTCCTAGACTCCGTCCTTTGACACTTTCTCTACTTTTACGGAATTTCTTGCTTTTCGTACTCCCAGTATTCAGAGACTACTGAGAGGCCTCAGCATCTTCCCCATCAGACACCTTGAACCCCCAGAGCCTTCCGGTGCACCAGATACCAGGGAGGAACTGTTTGGATACATAATCCTCCATCAAAGAGCCCCTGCGAGCATCTGCTCTTGCAGTCCCGGTTGGCTTCTAGCCCCTTCCATCAGAGACTCGCCTCCCCTACCCCACCCTAGACCCAGCCTCTGCCGTCAAAAGACAACCCGGGTTCTAGCTGCTTTTTTCAAAGATCTCTTCTCCTCACATCAGGCCTCAGAATCTGCCCTCAGATACTTTCAAGGTCCCTAATGTCTGCAGTCAGGGGTTTTCAGCTTCTGCTTTCAGACTCCTTGGACCCCAGGATCATTGTCAGATGTCCCTTCCACCCACAGGCCCTCTTGTTTTCTTTCTTCTTTCTTTTTTTTTTTTTTTTTTTTTTTGAGACGGAGTTGTTTCACTGTGTCCTCCAGGCTGGAGTGCAGTGGCGCCATCTCGGCTCACTGTAACCTCCACCTCCCTGCTTCAAGCGATTCTCCTGCCTCAGCCTCCCGAGTAGCTGGGATTACAGGCATGCACCACCACGCCTGGCTAAATTTTTGTATTTTTAGTAGAGATGGGGTTTCACCATATTGCCCAGGCTGGTCTGGAACTCCTGACCTCAGGTGATCCACCGCCTCGGCCTCCTAAAGTGCTGGCATTACAGGCGTGAGTAACTGCGCCCGGCCATGGCCCTCTTGTTTTCTACCGCAGTAGAAAACCCTCTTCTTAGCATCTACCTTCAGTGCCTCCATGGGGTCCTACATAATTGGTCAGAGAAACCCAACCCCATTTGGGGACCTAGCCAGTGTTTGCTTACTAACCTTTTTAAGGCCTGAACTATCTGGGCCCAGCTTCCCTTTTCCACCCCCTCAGAGCAGCTGTGATACCTAGCATGTCCTGTCAGAGATTGACACAGGGCCTTTGTGTTCCATTAGAAACCTTTCCCAGCCCCTCACCATCCACCCTCACAGCCTCCTGGGACTCTGTAGTAGGAATGTCAGATACAGCTCTCCTCTTGCATGTCCCTATCTATTATTTTTGGTTAAAGATTTCTCTCTGCTACCAGCATCTGTCTCCAGAGACCTCCAGAGCCTCAACATCCTCCTGATGGAGACTACCCCTCCCCCCAGACCCCAACGTCTTCCTGCTGCCTCCTCAGACTCTAGAATCCCCCACCCATTCCCTTTGCAGCTTCCATGGGGCCCAGCAACTGTCCTCCTACCTCTTTGCAGCCTCTGGGGGCCTCCACTGCAATTTTTCAGCCTTTCTCTAAAAGATCCTTTTCCAGAGATCCGAAATTTGAGTCTTTTCCTCACACCCTAGCCTAGTCCCTTCCCTCCCAGGACTTCTAACATCTCCTTTCCCATTTGCCTCAGAGCCTCCTTGCTCTTAGACACCCACTTCCTGATTTTCCTCTCACGTTCCCATGGACTTCTCAGTTAACCCCTCCCGGAAAGCTTGACATGCTCCAGCCCCCCTTCTCTATGCCCTAGCTTCTCCATGCTGCTAACCTGCCTCCTCTCACACCTCCAAGACTCCTCCCTCAAACCCTCTGGTTTGAGAATAGAGAATGCTTACGCTTGAAAATCTTCAGTTTGGAGACTCAGGTATGTTTAGAAACTAAGCCGCAGCTCAGCTTTGCCAAACAGTTCACAGTGTGTATGTTATAGTGGGGGCCTGAGCAAATGTTGAGGGAGGAAGGGTGTAGATTGTTTTTCTGCTGGGGGTGGGGGATCTTTAGCTCCTATCCAGAGTTTCTGTCCCAGACTCCTGCTTGCTTTGAGACAGGGCTGTTCCAGACCTTTGCAGTCGAAATCCAGTTGAACAATCATCTGAAACTTCTTAGACCCTTGCTGCCTGCACTAGGGATCCAGAGGGGAAATGTCTAGAAGTTAAAGTGCTCTCTGGCCCTGGATCATCTCTAATTTACGGAGTGAGGAAATGGCGTGTCCCGAACAAACTGACCAATGACAAGGCAAGGAGATAACTAAGTAATGGAGGCCACTACAGGTGCCCAGGGAGGAACTCACATCCTCAGGTCAGTGAGTTCTGACCACAGACCTTGGCTTCTTTAACTCTGCCAGCAGCCCCTTGAAGACAGTTTCGTTTGTCCCAGCTTTTGGAGAAAATGAGGCTCAGAGGAAATGAGATCTCTAACCCAGGTCAGTCAGAGAGTCAGTAAATGGAAAATACGGTTCGCCTTTGTCTCTACTAACTCACCAAGTCTCTTGCTACCTAGGTTGGCTCTTAGCATTCCAAGCAATTCACCTGGCTATCTCAGGGGCTCCAACTAGCCTCCTGCCTCCCCTCATTTCCCATTTCTTAGTCCTCTGGACTGGGCCGTGAGCCCAGGGGCGTTTGGCAAACAGTCCCCCACCAGCTGCATGCCTCTGGGCGAGTGAATGGGGTTCTCTGAGCCTTTGTTTTCTCATTTGTGATTTGGGCATAGGGTTATCTGGGTCATGGGGATTGTTAAGATTAGACAAAGCCCTTTCCTCTTTGATTGACATGCAGTATGCTCTTGGTAGATAGTAGGGAGCTCTTGTCATTGTGCTTGGTGCTAGTGACAGGTGCCAAGATGGAATCTTAGGTACACTGGGATACTTAGTGTCATAAAAGTCTCAGTGTAGGAGGACTTGTGTGAACGGAAGACTCAGTGCCTAGAGGAGCACTGGGGGTGAGGGGAAGTGACGCTGGGTCCTCCCATCTCCAACATCTGGACCCAGTCACCCGCACCACCAGATTTCACTTCCACAGCAGGCTGTATTGTTCTGTCTCTGGGACCTAGCAGTTGACCCTGGGCGAGTTACTTGACCGCGTGAGCTCACGTTTTCTCATTTGTCCTAAACTCTGCCTTGCTCGGTCAGGGTCATGGAGGGGATGAAACGTGATAACACGAGGAAGCAGCTTGGGCTCCAGAGTCAGCAGATCCTGGTCTGGTCCCAGCTCAGCTACTGTGTGGGAACCTTGGTCACCGAACGTCCCTGAGTGAATTTTTTTCCTTCACTTTAAAGTTGGGGGGTATTATTGACAGCAGTCCAAACCCCACAGGAGTGCCCTGAGGACACAGTGAGACAAGGCTTAGAGAAGTGCTTACTATGGCATCTGGCACGGGGAGGACTCCTAATAAGTCTAATACTCATTTATCATTGTGGTTAACCTGTTTAAGGGAGTCCACATGCAGATGAGGCTTGGGATGTGTTTGTTTTCTCTCTTTCTGCAACCTCTTTTATTGGTCTGTGTCGGTTTTCCCCTCCCAAAGCTGGGGGCAGGGTTGGGCTTTATAAAACTTCCCTCCCTGAGCCCCTCTGGGAACTGGGTTCTCAGCAAGTTACTGCTCCTGCCATCATGCCACCCTGATGGATGTCCAAGCCTCACTTCCCTCCTGCACTCCCCCTTCCCGCCGCCGTCCCTGGGATTAAGGGAGAGGAGAATGGCTGCTTGTTACTGCCTACCTACTCTGTGCCAGGTTCTGTGCTCTGTGTTATTTATCATCTCGATAACCCCATGGGGAAGGTAAGTGGTATTATCACCCCTGTTTCACGGTGAGAAAACTGAGGCCCACGGTGGTTAATTATTACTGTTAGTGGCAGGCTCAAGATTTGAAACCAGGTCTGTCCTGAATCCACATCTTTTCCCCTGACCTCTGCACAAGTACATTCTTGTCATTCCTTTCACTCCAGGATTGGAGTCTCTCCCTCATTGTCCTGTGCTGGGAAGAAGCAAATGGCTTAGTGGTCAGCAGTGTGGATTTGCAAATCAGACCACCTGGGTTCAGATCTTAGCTCTGACCACTGTGTTACCCTGGGCAAGTCCTCACCTTTCTGTGCCTGTCCCCTTTTTGCTGTAAAATTGGGGTACTAATACTTGTCTTCCCTTCCCCCACAGTTGCTACTAACAAACAGAAAAACGGTACCCATGTGCCCCAGGGTCACCTCTGTCCTTCTTTTTTTCCTCCAGATGTCCAGCTCGCCGCTGTCCAAGAAACGTCGCGTGTCCGGGCCTGATCCAAAGCCGGGTTCTAACTGCTCCCCTGCCCAGTCCGTGTTGTCCGAAGTGCCCTCGGTACCAACCAACGTGAGTGTCCTCTCCCTGGAGACTGGCAGACGAAGTGGTGGGTGGGAAAGTCTTCTGTATCACTGTCTGTCTATCCATGCTCCACTCCTGTGTGTCTCCCTGAACTTGTTCTTTCCCTCTATCCCTAGGGAATGGCCAAGAACGGCAGTGAAGCAGACATAGACGAGGGCCTTTACTCCCGGCAGCTGTAAGTGGGGCCAAGGCTGGGCCGAGGGGTGTGGAATGGGACATTGAGAGGATAGGGTTGGGTGGGGCAGGCCCTGACCTAGAGTACCCCCTAACCTGGCAGGTATGTGTTGGGCCATGAGGCAATGAAGCGGCTCCAGACATCCAGTGTCCTGGTATCAGGCCTGCGGGGCCTGGGCGTGGAGATCGCTAAGAACATCATCCTTGGTGGGGTCAAGGCTGTCACCCTACATGACCAGGGCACTGCCCAGTGGGCTGATCTTTCCTCCCAGGTACCTCTTCCTAGCACCCTTCCCCCTCTCCCCTTTCCCGAGGCACCACTGTTCCCGGTGCCTCAGCCATTTCACCTTTTTTCCCTACTGCACACCCTTACAGTTCTACCTGCGGGAGGAGGACATCGGTAAAAACCGGGCCCAGGTATCACAGCCCCGCCTTGCTGAGCTCAACAGCTATGTGCCTGTCACTGCCTACACTGGACCCCTCGTTGAGGACTTCCTTAGTAGTTTCCAGGTATCTTGGGGGTACCACCCAGCCTTCTGCCCAGTTCTCTCACAGCCCATCTCTGGTTTGTTCAGTGGTGTTCAATATTGATTTACTGGGTCGGCCTGAATCCTAGGTTTTGTGCTGGGGGACTAGAGTATGCAGGCAGCAGTTAGCCCCTGGCCCTGCCTTTTCTGTTCTGTTCTGTTCTTTTTTTGAGACCGAGTCTTGCTCTGTCGCCCAGGCTGGAATGCAGTGGCACGATCTCGGCTCACTGCAAGCTGTGCCTCCTGGGTTCACGCCATTCTTCTGCCTCAGCCTCCCAAGTAGCTGGGACTACAGGCGCCCGCCACCACACCCAGCTAATCTTTTTCTATTTTTTTTTGTATTCTTAGTAGAGACGGGGTTTCACCATGTTAGCCAAGGTGGTCTCGATCTCCTGACATTGTGATCCGCCTGCCTCAGCCTGCCAAAGTGCTGGGATTACAGGTGTGAGCCACCGCGCCCGGCCTGGCCCTGCCTTTTCAAGTGGGGAAGATGTGTACAGACAGTACGGCATAGTGGTTGTGGGCACAGACTGTGGAGGGAGCCATACTGCCTTGCTGCGGGCCTCCAGCCTTGGTAGTGTGACTTCAAGCAGGTTGCTTCATCTCCTGTACCTTAGTTTTCCTGTTTGTAATTAGTGCGTGGTAGCAGCACTGACTTCATGGACTTTTTGTGAGGGTTAAACACGTGGAATTGCAGCTGGCACGTAAGAACTGGATAGGTGTTTGTTAATTAAAAAGTCCAGGCCAGAAAGAGGTGCTCTGGAAGCTGAGAGTCGGCCCTGGGTTGCCAGGGCACTGCAGCTAAATCCGGATGGAGGAGTAGGAGCTCACCCTGGTGGGGAAGGATGGACATTCAGGCAGAGAGCAAAATCCCAAAGATCATGCGGAGCAGGCATTGTCTTGGGAATTGGAAGCAGGTGGGTGTGGTAGGAGTGAGCTCAGACTTTGGCTGGAGACAGAGTTTTACTCCAGTGTCTCACAGGGCATGGCAAGCAGACAGCAGCGGGTGTTTGTCAAATAAATGAGTCAGCTCTTCTCCAAACTCTGTCCTCCCAGCTACCTCTTCACCTTTCCTGGTATAGTCTAGGAGTTCATTTTTGACCCCCACAGAGTCTGATGCACAGTAGGTGCTGTGTGTTTGTGAAAGAGGCTGACCCAGCAAAGCCTGGATGTGTCTGCCTTGAGGACTGCCTGAGTCCTTGACATCAGCCCTCCACCATTTTCTCCTCTTCACCCCAATGCTGGGCCTGAGCCTCCATCTCTCCACAGGTGGTGGTGCTCACCAACACACCCCTGGAGGACCAGCTGCGAGTGGGTGAGTTCTGTCACAGCCGTGGCATCAAGCTGGTGGTGGCAGACACAAGGGGCCTGTTTGGGTGAGTGGCGGCCCACCCCGCTCCCTGTTCCCTTTTCCTCCAACTCCTACCAGGCCCAGGCCAAGACCTCTAGGCTCTCCCTGCCCTCGTCCCTCCTCAGCTACCCAGATTTTGGGTTCTGTGTGTTCATCTCTCCTCATGTGGCACAAGTACCATCTTATATCTCAGCAGTGATAGGCTGAGTTTGCTCAGCAAGTTTTCACTACATCTTGAGGGACCTGTGGGGCCTGTTTGTGCATGGGACACGGGCATCAGCCCTATTGCTTCCCTCTACAGGCAGCTCTTCTGTGACTTTGGAGAGGAAATGATCCTCACAGATTCCAACGGGGAGCAGCCGCTCAGTGCTATGGTTTCTATGGTTACCAAGGTAAGGAGACCAGCCCTAGGGTTCCTGGCGGGCAGGTGGGCTGTGGTAGTCCTTCCTGTCCGCTCTTGGTACCCTGGGCCTGTTTCTGAGACTCACTCTTCCTTTAACCAGGACAACCCTGGTGTGGTTACCTGCCTGGATGAGGCCCGACACGGGTTTGAAAGTGGGGACTTTGTCTCCTTTTCAGAAGTACAGGGCATGGTTGAACTCAACGGAAATCAGCCCATGGAGATCAAAGTCCTGGGTGAGCTGGGACCATGGGGGAAGCAGAGGGGAGCTAGGAGATATGTTCCTGGGTTCTGGCTGGGGAGTTGAAGGGAGGAGACGTGGCCCTTGGTTCAGATTGGGGAGACACATCCTGTTGTTTAAGATGAACTACAGACAGAATCCCGTGGGGTCCAATAAGAGCTGGTGGGCATGGGGGAGAGGTGCTGTGTTCGAGCTATTCCTGGGAGAATGTGTCCCTGGTATCTGAGCTGAGGGGGAAAAGGTCTCTGGTGTTTGAACAGGGCAGGTCAGAGGATCTACTTGTGTGTGAGCTGATTTGGATGGGAAGCAGATAAGGTCTTCCCATGTAGACTTGGAGCCAGGGACATAGGGTCTCACAGGGTCTGAGCTGGGTCTGGGGCACAGGAGAGATGTTTTCTGATGTCCATGTGGAGCCTGGAGCAGAGGGGAGATGGCGTCTGATGTCTGAGCTGAGTCGGGGCAGGAGGTTCCTTATCTTGCAGGGGTTGTGGATTTTAGGGAGAATGGGTAGACTGATAGCTCTCTTCCTGCCCTCTATAGGTCCTTATACCTTTAGCATCTGTGACACCTCCAACTTCTCCGACTATATCCGTGGAGGCATCGTCAGTCAGGTCAAAGTACCTAAGAAGATTAGCTTTGTGAGTGTGTCAGTGGGAACAGTGGCTATGTGGGGTAGTTCTAGGCATTCCCGAGTTCTCCATTCCTCTCTTCTGGTTCTGATGACCTCCCCCTTCCCCCGCCACAGAAATCCTTGGTGGCCTCACTGGCAGAACCTGACTTTGTGATGACGGACTTCGCCAAGTTTTCTCACCCTGCCCAGTTGCACATTGGCTTCCAGGCCCTGCACCACTTCTGTGCTCAGCATGGCCGGCCACCTCGGCCCCGCAATGAGGTGGGTGGGTAGGCGAGCCAGCCAATGCAGACATGCCTGGCACTGAAGGCCCACCATGCTTCTGCCTATCCACACTCCCTGCCCTCATTGTGGCCTTACAGATCCTCTTTTGGTTCTTTCTGGCCCACCAGGAGGATGCAACAGAACTGGTGGCCTTAGCACAGGCTGTGAATGCTCGAGCCCTGCCGGCAGTGCAGCAAGAGAACCTGGACGAGGACCTCATCCGGAAGTTGGCATATGTGGCTGCTGGGGATCTGGCACCCATAAATGCCTTCATTGGGGGCCTGGCTGCCCAGGAAGTCATGAAGGTCAGCATGGGTTGGGAGAGGCAGGATTGGGGTGGGCCAGGTGCCTCCCTGACTCCGTCACTTGCCCTCTGTGTCAGGCCCCTGTTAACCACTGACCACCCCCTCTCTCCCTTCCCCTCTCCAGGCCTGCTCCGGGAAGTTCATGCCCATCATGCAGTGGCTATACTTTGATGCCCTTGAGTGTCTCCCTGAGGACAAAGAGGCCCTCACGGAGGACAAGTGCCTCCCAGTATGTGGGTGGGACCTGTGGGGAGGGCATCATTGGGGGCATTTCTGGGGAGGCCTCTCTCTGACCCTCCTCCCTTTGCATTCCTTAGCGCCAGAACCGTTATGATGGGCAAGTGGCTGTGTTTGGCTCAGACCTGCAAGAGAAGCTGGGCAAGCAGAAGTATTTCCTGGTGAGTGGTCCCCTTGGATGCCTGCTCCCCTCATCTTGGCCTCTGACCATCTGCCCTGGGGCTTCCTTCAGCATTTCAACGCAACCTGTGAGGCATTCCCTTTGCCATTCTCCTTATCTTGAAGGGAAGCCCAGTGCATCCCTCGTTTCCCGCTCTGGTTCCTCCTTCCTCACACGACTGCGTGTCATTTCTTAGAGTCCTGGAACCTGAAGATGTGGTGTTAGCCCCTCTCCCCATCTCTCAGGGGAGTGAGGGGTGATGGGTAGCCTCACACTAACCTGCATCACTCTGACCAGCCTCTGCCTGTCTTCTTGGTTGCCTCTTAGGTGGGTGCGGGGGCCATTGGCTGTGAGCTGCTCAAGAACTTTGCCATGATTGGGCTGGGCTGCAGGGAGGGTGGAGAAATCGTCGTTACAGACATGGACACCATTGAGAAGTCAAATCTGAATCGACAGTTTCTTTTCCGGCCCTGGGATGTCACGGTGAGTAGGGTAGGAGGTGGGGCTTTGTCATCTCACTTTCCTCCTTTTTCTTTTTTTTTTTTTTTTTTCTTGAGACAGAGTTTTGCTCTTGTTGCCCAGGCTGGAGTGCAGTGGCATGATCTCTGGCCCACCACAACCTCTGCCTCCTGGGTTCAAGCGATTCTCCTGCCTCAGCCTCCTGAGTAGCTGGGATTACAGGCATGCGCCGCCATGCCCGGCTAATTTTGGTTTTTAAGTAGAGACAGGGTCTCTCCATGTTGGTCAGGCTGGTCTTGAATTCCCGACCTCAGGTGATCCGCCTGCTTCAGCCTCCCAAAGTGCTGGGATTACAGGCGTGAGCCACCTCAGCTCGCCCCTCCTTTTTCTTGTTCCCATTCTTTCTGTCAGAGATCTTTCCACCTCGGCCAGAAGCCTTTCCCAGCTTCTGTATCTTGTTTGTTTTTTTTGTTTTTTTTGTTTTTGCCTTGACCTTAGTGCTGGTTGGGACAGTGTATCTCGGGTCCTCAAAACCACTCTCAAGCTCAATTCGCCAAGAGAACTCATGGGACTTAGCATATAGTCGTGCTTGTGGCTACAATTTATTACAGCAAAAGGAAACAGACCAAAATCAGCAAAGGGAAAAGGCTGGTGGGGTGAAGTCTGGGGGAGCCAGATACAAGTTTCTAGGAGTCTTCTCCCTGTGGGAGTTAAACAAGGCGGCCTTTATTTCCCCAGTCGCAACAGTAACTACAGAAATAACAGCAACAAGGTGTAACAAGATGTGAAATGTTGCCAACCAGGGAAGCTTGTTAGACTCAGCACCATTGTAAAATGTTGCCAATCAGGGAAGCTTGTTAGACTCAGCACCATCTCTTTTACTTAGGACTGGTCATGTAGGCACCCCCTTCCTGGCACATACCAAAATTTCCAGACTCCCAGAAGGAAAGGTGTTCAGCATAAACTGTATTGTTTGCATGAACAGTTTAGGCACAGTGAACCACTGATATCAGGTAGGGAGTGGTGGGATTCTTCCCGAATTCCAAGTTCCCAGACTCCAGCCAAGGGTGGACCTTGGAAGCAGGCCTTTCCAAGGGTTGCAGTTTCAGTCTCCTAGGCTTACACTTCTCTGCCCATATGGAAACTGGGTTGGTTATGCAGGGATCTCTGAGAAGTCTTCTGTAGGGAACAATGTCATTTTTGCTTACCCAGGATTTATTCCCCCTTTCATTCATTTCATTTATTCACCAAATAGTTACTGAGGTACTGTTTTAGGTATTGGGGATATACCAAGGAATAAAACAAGATTCCTGAAAGGGGAGGGGAACGGACAGCAAACAATAGACACAATACGATCGTGAGGTATATAGTTAATGTCGGTGATGAGTGCTCCTCAAAGGAAACAACAAAAACCAGACAAGGGAAGTCAGGGTGTCAGGGAGAATGGTTTGTAGTATTGATGACAGTGGTTAAGGAAGGCCTGAGTTCTGCAGAGACCTCAAGGATATGAGGGACTAGAGCGCCTTCTGCTGCGGAAGAGCCCACGCAAAGATCCTGAGGTGGGAGGGTCAGGGAGCCAACTCATTTTACGGTAAGTGGAGGTGGGATCCAGGGGAGGATTCTGAGCAGAGGAGGGATGTGGCCCACCTTGGGCTTTGAAAGGATCCTGCTTGTCTGTGCGCTAGCATCCTGGTGCTGGTTGGGGGAGTCTACGTCAATCCTGGGTGCTATTACCTGAAAAAATAGTAGGTGTTAGATGAAAGAACAGATGTCTGGCCCATTGTCTCCAGTCTGTTCCTGTCCACAGCTTCCCTTTCCACTGATCCCCTGCCACATGCGTCATCATCCTGGCCATGTGGCATTGTCACAGACCGTCTCTCCTGCTAGCCACCTAACTCAGGGCCTGGGTCTTCCCCAGCATTAAGTAAATCCGTCTCAGGCAGGCAACCCTTTATAGATGTTTGGGCCAGGTGTGGTGGCTCACGCCTGTAATCCCAGCTCTTCGTGGGGCCGAGGTCTTTGAGCTCAGGAGTTCAAGACCAGCCTGGGCAGCATGACAAAACCCTGTCTCTACCAAAAATACAAAAATTAGCCACGCATGGTGGTGCACACCTGTGGTCCCAGCTACTTGGGAGGCTGAAGTGGGAGGATGGCTGGAGCCTGGGAAGTTGAGGCTGCAGTGAGCTGTGATCACGCCACTGCACTCCAGCCTGTGTGATGGAGAGAGACCCTGTCTCAAAAAAAAAAAAGATGTTTGTTGGGTGAATGAACAGATAAGTGAGCTCTGTTCCCCCGTCCCCACCCTGGAACTGCACTTTCTTAACCCTTTAGAAGTTAAAGTCTGACACGGCCGCTGCAGCTGTGCGCCAGATGAATCCACATATCCGGGTGACAAGCCACCAGAACCGTGTGGGTCCTGACACAGAGCGCATCTATGATGACGATTTTTTCCAAAACCTAGATGGCGTGGCCAATGCCCTGGACAACGTGGATGCCCGTGAGTTTGGAGGCGGGTGAAATGGTCAAGGGCAAAGTTGTGTGTGTTTCGGTGTGTATATACCAAGAGGGGTGTCTGTCTTCCTGTCCTCTCCTAATGTTCCTTTCCCGGCTGTCGCTTTGTCCTCCCCGCAGGCATGTACATGGACCGCCGCTGCGTCTACTACCGGAAGCCACTGCTGGAGTCAGGCACACTGGGCACCAAAGGCAACGTGCAGGTGGTGATCCCCTTCCTGACAGAGTCGTACAGTTCCAGCCAGGACCCACCTGAGAAGTCCATCCCCATCTGTACCCTGAAGAACTTCCCTAATGCCATCGAGCACACCCTGCAGGTGATAAGCTGTGGGAGAAGGGAAAGAGGCCGGGCATCTGGCCAGGCCGCTGCCTCTCTGCCCCCAGGCCCTTGCCTTGCCTTCAGATGTTGCATGCCTAAGCCTAAGATGTACCTTTTCTCCAAACCTCCCTCCCTCTCTTCCCACCAAGCAGCCTGGGTTTCTAGAATGACTCATTCTTTTTTCACTTTTACTTTGAATTTTTTTCAACACATAGACAAATATTAAGAATATTATGATGAATACTCAAATACCATTCCTCACCTAAATTTAGCAATTCTTAATGTTTTGCCACATTTTCTTCTTAGATGTATATAGATTTTTCTTCTTTGTGCTTAAATGTGTCACGGACATTACAGCCTTTACTCCCCTACTATTTCAGTGCCTCTGCCAAGTGAGGATATGTTGCTATAGAACAGGGTTTCTTAGCTTCAGCACTACTGACATTTGGGGCTGGTTACTTCTTTGTTATGGGAGAGGGGATGCCCTGTGCACTGTAGGATGTTTCTCAGCATTCCTGACTTCTTATGTCAATAGCACTCCCCCTCCATCATGACATCTAAAATGTCTCCAGACATTGCCAGATGTCCCCAGGGGTGCCACATCACTCCCAATTGAGAACTACTTCTATCTAACAGAAACATCACTTTCATGCTCAACAAAATTAACAATCATTCTTACCATCTCTTCCAGTTATTTATTTGTCTCTAATAGTCCATATTCGGGTTTTCCCCAGCTGTTACTTAAAATGAGTTTAACAGCTGGTTTGTCAGGATGATTCTGTGTGTGTGGTGCATGTACCTACAGAACAGTGCACATATTATCTAGCTCAGGGGTGTCCAGTCATTTGGCTTCCCTGGGCCATATTGGAAGAATTATCTTGGGTCACACATAAAATATACTAACACTAACGATAGCTGATAAGCTGAAAAAATAAAAGAAAAAAAGATCCGTGCATAAATCTCATAATGTCTTAAGAAAATTTACAAATTTGTGTTGGGCAGTATTCAAAGTCATCCTGGGCCGCATACGGGCCACAGGTTAGACAAGCTTGATCTAGCTGAAGTTTTACAAAGTGAACACACAAGTGACTACCACCTAGGCCAAGAAACAGAACCTAGGGATTACCATTGTGCTGTCAGAATAATTCTTAGTGCAGTGTTTGAGGCCAAACCATTTAGAATAGTAGGAGTATGAGGGTGGGAACAAAATAGGGAAGGGGAAAAAAAAAACCAGTTCCATCTGTCACTTTCTCCCTTCTGACACTGCAGTTCCAGAGTGGGTATGTTTGTATTTGTGCACCCACCACAGTCTTACTAGGTCATGTGTGACCTCTCTGTGCCTCAGATTCCTGTTCTGTAAAATGGGAATGACAGTAGCATCTACCTCACAGGACAGTTGTGAACCACTTGGCATTTACCGTGTGCCTGGCACTGTTTTAACCAAGCTTTAAATATATACGTATTTGCTCATTTCTTCCTAGCAACCCCATGAAGTAGGTATCACTGTTGTAACATCTGTTCTAGAGATGAAGCACAGAGGTAAAGATGTTATCCTGTGTGCCTGAAGTCACAAAACTAGGTAATACGTGGCATAGCTGGAATCTGAACATGAATTTCTCACATCTGTACACTCCAAACCACCTCGCTAATGACTGCGAACTGTCCTAGGAACTCTCAGAGGCCAGAACATCTGTCTTGTTTGCTATTTTATTTTTTGAGACAGGGTCTCATTCTGTCACTCAGGCTGGGGTGCATTGGCACAATCATAGCTCACTGCAACCTTCAGCTCCTGGGAAGTGTGTGTGCGCGCACGTGCGCCTGTTAACGTTGACCAGGCTGGTTGCAAACTCCTGGGCTCAAGTGATCCACCTACCTCAGCCTCCGAAAGTGCTGGGATTACATGTGTGAGCCCCTGTATCCAGCCTCTGTCTTGTTTTCTGCCGAGTCCTCAGGGCCTGGATAGGGATCATTTTTGGTTTGGTCTGAGTTTTTTCTTTTTTAAAAAATTGTGGTAAGATACACTTAGTTGAAGTTTTTCTTTTTTATGGAGGCATAACATATCTAGAATAAAGTACACAGTTTTTGTTTTGTTTTGTTTTTGTTTGTTTTTTTTTGAGGTGGAGTTTTGCTCACGTTGCCCAGGTTGTAGTGCAGTGGCGCAGTCTCGGCTCACTGCAACCTCTGCCTCCCAGGTTCAAGCGATTCTCCTGCCTCAGCCTCCCAAGTAGCTGGAATTACAGGCGTCTGCCACCACACCCGGCTAATTTTTGTATTTTTAGTAGAGACAGGGTTTCACCATGTTGGCCAGGCTGGTCTCGAACTCTTGACTCAGGTGATCCACCCGCCTCAGCCTCCCAAAGTACTGGGATTACAGGCGTGAGCCACCTCGCCTGGCCTGGTACGCAGATCTTAATACATTTTTAGGCTGGGCTTGGCGGCTCACACCTATAATCTCAGCACTCAGGAGGCCAAGGAGTGAGGTTTGTTTGAGCCCAGGAGTTCAAGACCAGCCTGGGCAACATAGCAAGACCTTGTCTCTACAACAAATCTTAAAAATGAGCCGGGTGTGGTGGCATGTGCCTGTGGTCCCAGCTACTCGGGAGGCTGAGGTGGGAGGATTGTTTCAACCTGGGAGGTCAAGGCTGCTATGAGCCGTGATTGCGCCACTGCACTCCAGCTTGGGTGACAGAGTGAGACTTTGTCTCAAACAACAAAACAAAACAGTTTTCCATATACACAGCACTATTGTAACCACTGCCCAAATCAAGTTCATTGGTTTTTCTTTTTTTTTTTGAGATGGAGTCTTGCTCTGTCACCCAGGCTGGAGTGCAATGGCATGATCTCAGGTCACTGCAACCTCCGCTTCCCGGGTTCAAGCGATTCCTCTGCCTCAACCTCCCGAGTAGCTAGGATTACAGGCGTCTGCCACCATGCCCGGCTAATTTTTGTATTTTTAGTAGAGATGGGGTTTCATCATGTTGGTCAGGCTGGTCTCGAACCCTTGACCTCAGGTGATCCACCCACCTTAGCCTCCCAAAGTGCTGGGATTACAGGTGTGAGCTACTGCACCTGGCCTGGTTTTTCAATTGAGGTGGGGAAATGGGGAAGGCTGGGGAGCTTCCCCACTTCCAGAGTAACTGTGAGCCTTGTACTTGCTTTATTCACTGATGGTCCTTCTAATAATGCCTGCGGAAACCCATTTTGTCAACTGTGGCCACATGTAATCTGTTTGCTATGTCTGCAGTGGGCTCGGGATGAGTTTGAAGGCCTCTTCAAGCAGCCAGCAGAAAATGTCAACCAGTACCTCACGTGAGTAACTCCAGTGCCCTCTCGCCCTATCCTTGTCCACCAGCCAAGGCATCCCGCCCGCTTTCCTCATCACAGTAACACTTGGCACCAGGCACACTTTTCACATGAATGAGTGGCTGCTCGGGCCTCGTATTGTTTGGGGTCGGGACTAGTTTTCCATGGAGAAAATAAGATTGCTCTGGAGCCCACTCCTGAGGCTGACGTGTAATCCTGTCCTCTGTCCTCTTCGATTCCTGATAGAGACCCCAAGTTTGTGGAGCGAACACTACGGTTGGCAGGCACCCAGCCCTTGGAGGTGCTGGAGGCTGTGCAGCGCAGCCTGGTGCTGCAGCGACCACAGACCTGGGCTGACTGCGTGACCTGGGCCTGCCACCACTGGCACACCCAGTACTCAAACAACATCCGGCAGCTGCTGCACAACTTCCCTCCTGACCAGGTAATGCCCAGTTGTTGGGTCCATTTGACAGAATGTATTTCCCTGAAATGGGAGCCTGCAGTGTGGGTTCTCCCACTGCGGAGTCCAGCTGTGGCAGGTGCCCTGAGGCATGGGGATCTGAGAAGAGTGATTGACCCTAACCTGCTTTTTCCTTACCCTAGTTCCTTTGAGCAAAGAGGCTTGGTTGCTGTTTACCCTGACTGTGGTGTGGGCTGCGTCATACCTGATTCCCAGTCAGGGCTGTAGGGGTTATGGGGGAGAAATTCTGGAGTTAAGTGCACAGGAATCAATACGGGTTTGGGTTCAAATCCAAACTCTACTTGAACAAATCACGTAACTTCTTTCTGTACCTCAGTTTCCTCGTCTGTGAAGTAGAAATAATAGTGATCTACGTCATGGGGGGTTTGGGGAGGATTAACTGGTATTTATTAATATGAAGTTAGTACAATGCCTGGTAATCCATGAGTTTGTTAAATGATGGGCTGTCTAGCACAAAATGACTACCCAGGGATTGGTAGTTGTTCTCTCAGCCAGATCTGTGGTTCAACCTGTGGGACCCTACAGTTGGGGTATTTTGTGATTGGCTCCAGTCCCCATCGAGTGCCCAACCCGAGATAGTGAGTTGGGGGCACCTCTGGGGCCTAGGTGAAGTGCCAAGATTCTCAGAGAGGCCTTCACTCTCAGGTCCTGTTCTCAAAAATCTCTCCATCCCTTAGCTCACAAGCTCAGGAGCCCCTTTCTGGTCTGGGCCCAAACGCTGTCCACACCCGCTCACCTTTGATGTCAACAACGTAAGTCTCCTCTCTAGGGTCTTCTGGGGTCAGGTGGAGGGTGAGTAGGTGGGAAGGAGGTGGTGGCTCCCCACTCGAAGGCTGATGTGCTCACCCTTCCCTGCCCTGCCTTCTCCTAGCCCCTGCATCTGGACTATGTGATGGCTGCTGCCAACCTGTTTGCCCAGACCTACGGGCTGACAGGCTCTCAGGACCGAGCTGCTGTGGCCACACTCCTGCAGTCTGTGCGGGTCCCCGAATTCACCCCCAAGTCTGGCGTCAAGATCCATGTTTCTGACCAGGAGCTGCAGAGCGCCAATGCCTCTGTTGGTGAGGGTGTTTGGCCAGTTGGCCAGTAGTCACCCCCAAATGTCCCCGGCCTAGTCTAGCCTCCCCACCAGTCCTCTACCCCTGGCTCTGCTCTGCTCTGTGACCCCAGGCCTGAGGTTTACCCACACCTTCCTTTGAGCCTCCCTTTGACATGAAGAGGGTAGGTTGGGGCAAATTGTCTCCCTCCCTCCTCCTCTCCACTCTGGCCCGCAGGAGAACTTGCTGTTTTACTCTTGCTCTGTATATTTCCCTTAGTTCTGTTCTTTCTTCTTGATCTGTTCATCTAAGACGTATGATCTCTACCAGTGGTCTCTCTCCCGTGATACCTTCCTGCCTTGTCTCCTTCCAGATCTGCCCCCATCTGTACATCTATCGCCATGTTTCTCTATGCATCTTCACCCTCCATAGTTTGGGGCTGCGGTTTACTGACACCCCCGCCCCACCCCATCTACATATTTTTTCACCACTCCTCCCTTCTGTATATAATGCATCTGTAGCTCTGTAATGCCCCCTACATTTACCTTCCTTATATCTCATCCCTCTTCCTCTCCACAGATCTCCTCCCATTTCCCCTTCCATGGTCCCCATCTTCCTTCTGAAATATCTACTCCTTCATATTCCTCTATGTACGTCTTCCAATCTTTCCTTCCATATCTCTCATCACCTTCATATATTTCTCCTCCCACCTGTCTCACCCTCTGTATACCCCCACTCTCCCCTTTTATATCTTCTCCATCTCCCCCCATATCTTTCCTCTATGTCCACATCTGTACATTCCCCCCAACTTCCCCTCCATATATCTTTTTTACTCCCCTTTTCCTCCCTGTATCCTCTGTGTTCCCCCATCTCGCTCTACATCATTCTTCCCAAGATCTTTACGTTTCCCATCTTGATCTCTCCATCTCCACTTTCTCCTAACACTTTCATTTCCATTCCTTAGTGTCTCTAGAGAGATCGTTCTTGATAGCCTCAGCTCTTTCTCTGTGTTTTTCAGGTTTGTATTCTGTTCTTCTCTACCTCTCCTCCTTGCCCCTTTTCTCTCCCAGGATGTCTCTCCTTTCCAAATCCTTTTTCTACCTGAATACCTTTTGGCCCACACTGGGCTCCCATTTCCACCTCAGACCTTAGCCTGGGATCTAAAGGGCTGACAGTGTCCCTCTCTTCATGCAGATGACAGTCGTCTAGAGGAGCTCAAAGCTACTCTGCCCAGCCCAGACAAGCTCCCTGGATTCAAGATGTACCCCATTGACTTTGAGAAGGTACAGGGTGGGGGCCCAGGACAGGGAAGGGAGGATGGGCAAAGCATAGACAGGCTGGAGAAAAACAGGAGGAGTATCTGGAGACAGCCCTGGGCCTTTGTGGGGATCAGATCGTGGGCCTGCCACATAGCTCTGAATGAGTAGGTGTTCCCAGCCATCCCTTTGTGATCTGGGAGAGTCCATCAGGCAGTTGCAGTGGAGGATACACATTTTCTTTAACTGATCCTCTCCCCACTGCCCCTTCACACCCTCCCCACTCATAACAGGATGATGACAGCAACTTTCATATGGATTTCATCGTGGCTGCATCCAACCTCCGGGCAGAAAACTATGACATTCCTCCTGCAGACCGGCACAAGGTGAGGGGAATCTAGACCTGATGTTCCACACTCCTCCAGGTTTGAGTTACCCACACTCAGCCCCTCTATAGACCCTGAGGCTCTTGTACTCAACTACCACCATTTTTTGTCCCTTCCTGTCTCTCAGAGCAAGCTGATTGCGGGGAAGATCATCCCAGCCATTGCCACGACCACAGCAGCCGTGGTTGGCCTTGTGTGTCTGGAGCTGTACAAGGTTGTGCAGGGGCACCGACAGCTTGACTCCTACAAGAATGGTTTCCTCAACTTGGCCCTGCCTTTCTTCGGTTTCTCTGAACCCCTTGCCGCACCACGTCACCAGGTGGGGGCCCGCATCAGAAGTGGGGTTTGGGTGGGGTATGTCTGTAGATTCTGGTTCTAATTCACGTCATACCCTGTCACCAGGTGAGGGTTTCTGTCTATGTGTACCTACCCTTTTTATGCATCCTTTTTCGTTTATTCATTAATCATATTGTTTGAGTACATGCGAAAAGATGGGATATTTGAATTGTGCCCTGGGAGATTATTAGTATTATTAACTACACAATAATGGCAGCCAAAATTTATTGGATGCTTCCTACACTTATGTGCTTTGCTTGCTTCATTCATGAATTCACTCAAATATTTATTGAGCACCTGTTGTGTGCAGGTACTCTTCTAAGTTATGTTCCTCAAGTAGATGATATAAATAACCTATTAAATGATCTTGGAATCAAAAAAGGATAAAAAGAGGCCGGGCGCGGTGGCTCACGCCTGTAATCCCAGCACTTTGGGAGGTCGGGGCACATGGATCACCTGAGGTCAGGAGTTCGAGACCAGCCTGGTCAACATGATGAAACCTTGTCTCTACTGAAAATACAAAAAATTAGCTGGGCATGGTGGTGGGCACCTGTAATCCCAGCTACTCAGGAAGCTGAGGCAGGAGAATGACTTAAACCTGGGAGGCGGAGGTTGCAGTGAGCCGAGATCGTGTCATTGCACTCTAACCTGGGCAACAAGAGCAAAACTCCATCTCAAAAAGATAAAGAGGACTTGAGAATACCAGGGGGCAAAGGCATGTGTTTGAGATTTTGTGTGGGATGGTCAGAAAAGGCCTTGCTGAAAAGATGACACTTGAGATCAGAATTGGAGAATGTGAGGGGGCAAACTGTGCAGGCTTGGTGGTGAGTGGGGACACATTCCAGGCAGAGGGACCAGTTCTTAAAAGGGTACCAAGATAGGGGTGTGCCTGGCAAGTTGGAGGAATTCAAAGTCCATGGAGTGAGTGTGAGACTGAGGAGAGTAGGAGATGAGAAGAAAACAATTTCAGTGCTTGGGGTGAGATGGGAGCCACAAGAGGATTTCGAACAAAAGAGGATTGTGATCTGACTGAACACGTCTGCATGGGGGTGAGGGGAATGGAGACAGATGGGGGCTGGACCCTCTGGGATGGTCTCCATCTTACACTCCCCTCTTTGTCCTGCAGTACTATAACCAAGAATGGACATTGTGGGATCGCTTTGAGGTACAAGGACTGCAGCCTAATGGTGACGAGATGACCCTCAAACAGTTTCTCGACTACTTTAAGGTAAGGCCCCTCCCTCTCTCTCTCACCCCACCTTGGGGGGCGAGGTGTGCAAGGTGACTTGCTAGCCTGTCCACCCCCATGACCCTGCTGTTCCCCGTCCCTCTCCAGACAGAGCACAAATTAGAGATCACCATGCTGTCCCAGGGCGTGTCCATGCTCTATTCCTTCTTCATGCCAGCTGCCAAGCTCAAGGAACGGTTGGATCAGCCGTGAGTTGGCCACTGGCCAAGCTGGGGGGAGGCCCTGTATAGGTTGGGGAACCTCAACATCCAGCTGTCCCACTCCAGTTCACTGCCCCCACCTACCTGCCCGTCCTCTCTTGCTTTCTGCCCTCCTGACCCTATGCTCCCATCCCCCTGTCCCCAGGATGACAGAGATTGTGAGCCGTGTGTCGAAGCGAAAACTGGGCCGCCACGTGCGGGCGCTGGTGCTTGAGCTGTGCTGTAACGACGAGAGTGGCGAGGATGTCGAGGTTCCCTATGTCCGATACACCATCCGCTGACCCCCGTCTGCTCCTCTAGGCCGGCCCCTGTCCATCCCTCTCCACGCCCCTTCCAGCCCAGGGTTCCCATTTGGCTTCTGGCAGTGGCCCAGCTAGCCAAGTCTGGTGTTCCCTCATCATCCCCCTACCTGAACTCCTCTTGCCACTGCCTTCTACCTTGTTTGAAACCTGAATCCTAATAAAGAATTAATAACTCCCACGTCGCCTGCCCTGCTGGTTCCAGGCAAGGAAGGGACTTCCTGGAACTATCTGGTTCAGATGGTAACTCAGAGGGCTCAGCCCCACCACACCTACCAGTTTTCTGGGCAAAGAAAATGTAATTGCCAGCTCTTCCTGCCCTCTCTGCCTAGGAAGAAAAGGAGGCACCAGTGAAGCCAGTGAGCAGGTACTTGGGTCCATGTGACTATTAATTTGAGCTGGGTTCAATTTTCACCTTCTCCATGTCCTAACTCCCTGCTCTGTGAAGAGGAAAGTTGTGACCAGGCTGCTAGGGCATGACCAGCATGCCTTATGTCCTTAGGGCAGATCCCCTCCCACCTGGCTCAAAGCACTCAGAGCCTGGGCAGCCTTTTGTAGTCATGGTTCCCAGCACCAGGAATGCCTGTGGTGCTCTTAGTTCAATTTCCTTGCTGCAGGGGTGTCTTAAACAGCTCTGCTGAATGCCAATGCCTGCAGGCATACTTTGCAATTTTTATGGAAATATTTGAGAACCTTGGTAGAGGAAAAGCCCCTTGCTTGTCTTACGCTGCCCCCCTCAGCCCCAGGTCTGCCTGTATGCCCCTTGATCTTCAGCCTCCTACCTTGGAAAAGACAGCTGGCAATGGGGACTGAGGGGTGTTCATCGCTTAGAGCAGGTAGCAGGAGGCCCAACACCAGCCCCACCAGAACTGCAGAGCTACCGTGCTCTGTCCTTGGTCTTCGCTGAGCACTCCAGACGATTGAAAGCACCAGTCTGACCACTGCCACATCTTTGCCTTCCTCTATTGTACTGGCTCCTGGTGCCTGAGGAATCCATTCATACTTTTGTCCCTCAACTAACCAGACAATAATTTTATCTACCTTACTAGAAACAAGATCCCTCACTCTTCTACTCAAACTTGAGTGTAAGGAATAGCTCAACCTGTTCTGAACTGGCCTGATTGCCATCACAGCCTGTGCCCACATCTGCTGTCTCCTGGGCCAGTAGTTCCTGGTCCTGGGCACAGTATATGCCCTTGCCCACCTCCTTCTGATCATTTTATTTTCTTGGCCTGCTCTGCGTGGGTGACCTCATCCTTCCACAGTTTCTTCTTCTTCCCCAATAGGACATTGAGGACAGAGGCATTTTCCCTTTGGTATCTAGTGGTGATGCTGTCAAGTGGAAAGTTTTTCCCACCACAGGAACTTTCCCATTATTGCTCTAGAGTATCCTAGACACCACACCGCAGTCCACTGGTCATGCCACTACAGCAGCTGAGGCTTGAACACAACTGTTGTCTTCTTTCTCCAGTATGCCAGCTCCTTTGCAGATACTCTGTAGACACCTTGTTCGCTGCACCTCCCCCATTACAGCTCCATTTCTTCCCTACCACAACTCCTGGATCTCCTTGACACCTTATTCGTACCTGACACCCTTCTCCATCAAAACAAGCTTTTGAGTCATGCATGAATCCTGGTTGCATCTTAGTTGTTCTCCCTCCACCTCATTCCATTTTACTCTGCAGTTTGTCTACCATTACAACACCAGCCAGAGATCAGGGCTCAGCAGGCGGGGGTTGCGTCATTGCACCGAGCCCCCTGCACCCAGCAGCCACAAAGGATAGGGTGGGACAAAGGTTTCTCTTGTCATTGCCTGGAACTATTTGCCCACCTCCTTCTGATCATTTTATTTTCTTGGCCTGCTCTGGCAGGCATTCAACAAACATTTGTTGCGTGCTGTGTGCCAGTCACTTTCTAGGCACGTGAGACAGCAGTGGATAAAACAAAGATCCCTGTCTTCTTGCGGTTTATGTTCTGCTAGCTTGAGACCCAGAACAGACTATAAGCACAGTAAGCAAATTGTACCTTAGAAGTTGATCAATGTTCTTCAAAAGGCGAGGAACAGAGCCCGATCTGGGGATCTGGAATGATGGCAGTGCAGGTAGGAATTTTTAAATAGGAAAGGCTTCATGGAGATGACTTTGAAGCAAGCACCTGGAAGAAGTGAGAGAATGAGGCACGTGGATGTGGGGCAGGAGCATTCCAGGCAAAGGGAACCACAGCAAATGCAAAACCCCTGAGGCTGGATTGTGCCCGTTTCACTCAGAAACAGCTAGAAAGAGCGCTAGTATGGTGGCAGTGAGTCAGGGGAAGAAGAGGAAGAGATGAGGTCAGAGAAGTGATGGACCTATTCTAGGCCAAGGCGAGGACTTTTTTTGTCTTTGTCAGATGTTTCCACTCCCATCATGGCCCGGGAAATCTTCACTAATATAAACCTTACTGAAAATCCTAACTGGTGTGACCAAGGCTGCCATAAAGGGAAGCCCGGAAGAGGCGGGAGGCTGCTTTGGAACAGGGTAGTGTAAGGATGTGCCAGAAGGCCTGCTGGAGGTTGCAGCCCTTTGAGCGGGACTTGGGGATAGTGTGGTTTTCCAGGCAGAAGGAAGTGAGGGATTAGGTCGACCTGGTAGTGCTTGTCACACAACAGGCGCCCAATAAATAAAATGGAAATAAAATCGCGGAGTGTTCTACTTGTGTTGACTGACATCAAAACAAAACAAAAAACCCGCAGAGTGAGGGAAGGCACGGGCGGGGCTGTGGCGGGCAAGAGAGGTGGCAGGAAAATCCTACGCACGGCGCCTATGCAAATACTCGTGTGAGGCAGAAGAGAGGCTCCGCCCGGCTCGAAGTTCCAAGCATGCGCAGTAGCGGCTCCTGCACCTCTAAGGATCCGCCTCTTTCCTCCTTTCTCAGCTTCGCTTTCACCCCGGGAGGCCCGCTGTATGAGATGGAGGGCGGGCTAAAGGCGGGACGAGACCCGATTGAGCGCAGTTGTGACCAATCACCTTGCGGAATATTCGGCCTATAGCGAAGGAGAAGCTCAGAACAAAAAGAAGGCCCCACCCCCGCTGACGGAGAAAACCTATGAAACCCGGGCGGAGGCGTGTGGAGTTGGGGAGAAAGCGAAATCACGCCTCTTCAGTCAGCCACGCCCTTTATTCTTGCTCAGCCTCGCCACAGAGAGCAAATCCGATTGGCTGGGCGACAACCTCAAAGGGCGGGGCTGTACACGTTCACTAGGGGAATAAGGTAGCGGTTGGGGGGGCAGATGGGCGGGGATAGGCTGTCCTAGGTAAGGTGGTAAAGGCCAATAACTCTTCAGGCTGCCCCTCCTCGAAAAGTCATCTTCTCGCGAACCTTTAAAATGCCTTCCTCCCCAGGCACCTCAAGGGACTAGAACGGAGTGCTTCATTTCTCTTTTTCCTCCTTGCAAAAGTCCCGTTTGCCACCATGGGGATGTACCAAGTAAGACTGAGTAGGGGGAGCGAGTGGTGATGGACGCGCCAGGTTACTGGCCGCTGCTCACCTAGGCGCTAGCAAACTTCTGCCAAGATCGGAACTGAGTACTAAACAGCCTCCACACTTCTCCCTGGTGCCGTCCCCGGCCTGGCGCCGCATCCCCCTGTGGGCTCGCGATGGCCGCGTCCCCTCCCGCTGCGGACAGGTCCTTTGGTACAGGCAGTCCGAGGTGAGTCCCCTCCTTTCCACTTCACCCTTCCGAGCGCCTGCGTGCGCATGCGCGG